ACCAATAACCACTTATTCACCAGGCATATCGGCTGATACCAATCTGATAACTGATTTACAGGAATGCAGCTGGGCAGCATGGAAAGCAGTGCCCTGCAGGTAAGTCTGTGGAGGGGAAGGAGTGGGGAAGGGCAGATTGAGGCCCCCCTGGTGAGGGAGGGAGTGGGGTTGGGGCTGAGGTTGGGGCTGAGGTTGGGGGTGAATGGAACCCCGGGGCCAAGGTGGGGAGTGAAACAGAGCCACAGGCGGCTTGTCCAGGGGATCAGTGTCCCGGTACTTAAAAATGGGGGGGGCCTTTTACTAAAGCTCAAAGAATGAGCTTTAGTTCAAGTGCTGCTGCCACCATGTTTAAGCACCAGGAAGCTTTTACTAGTGGAGCCATGTGGGGCAAGGCAGAGGTGGGCTGCCCGCTGTGGGCTCAGGGCACGCCACTGGCCGGGGGACACATGGCCAGTGTGCAGCTCCTGGAGCAAAGCAGCAGGGTGGAGAGCCCTGAGCGCACAGCAGGCAACTTACATTTGCCCTCACCCTGCTCAGCTCTGCTCCTAAAACATCCCAGCACTTAAAAATGGTGGTGGTGGTGCACTGGGATGCTGATCTCGTGGATGAGCAACCTGTGGCTCTGTCCTGCTCCCTGACCCTGCCCTACTCCTCACTGTGGGGGCCTCAATTTGCCCTGTTCCCCCACACCCCTTCCCCTCCACAGACTTACCTGCAGAGCACTGCTCTCCACACTGCCCGGCTGTATTCCTGGCCATGTTTGGAGGCCCTGGCTGGAAGACACATTATATTTATCGGTACATTATTGGCTACACCAGCCCATAAAAGCTGATAGCCAGTAATGTTAATTTTCCTTTTATCAGTGCCAATCTGATATGGTGCCAATATATCTGTGCACCTCTAATATATATTACACTTGTGTGTGTGTGTGTGTGTGTGTGTGTGTGTGTGTGTGTGTGTAAAGTACAGGTCACCACTCATCATCCTTGTGTCAGGACACAGTAACGTTGTTAGCCTTGTGGCAACACCACAGACAAATCTCAGTTGTTCTTCATCTTCTCGAAGTTAGCAAAAGCCTACTGGACTTCTTAACCACCAACCAAGAGTGATGTCTGAAGAGTTCTGTCCAGTCAATATTCCATTAGTGAGGAAATCCCCTTAGAAACTTGTTACCACCAAGGACAATATAAAATATCTGGCATTTTGTTCCAGCGAGTCATAATGATCCTCTTCATATAGTAGGAAAGGATCTCATGTATGTAGTTCTGATGCTTTTGATTCCAAGTAAAATGCCAAGTCAGAAACAATACAACAGCACTAATTCTGATAGCTCAATATTGGAGCTAGCCATTTCTGGCTAACATCTTTTATAGATGTCTACTCAGCATCAGATACCACTTCCAAACTGGCCAGACATACTGTTATAGAACAAAGATCAGATAATTTATTCAGAACCACTGTTACTACATCAGGCAGCTTACCTTTTGGCTGATAGAGACTAACAGAGACTATTCCACAAAAACACAAGGGGTCTTACTGCAAAGTAGAAAGCTCTCCATGTAGAAGAATAAATAGAAATAATTTTCATTTTGGGCCACTTGGCACAACATTGACCTAGTGAAGGGTTCCATAAGTGAAATCCTCCATTCTATTCTGTATTTTAACTTTTTTGGACTCCCATTCAAACTTGTTATAGTGCCTGCTTATGTAATCATACAAACTTGGGTGGAAGGTTGGGCAGAGATGCACCTTACAGACCTACTGAATCAGATGCATACATTTTCATGAGCAAAAGCTCACTTCAGATGCTATAAAAGACGTACACAGAGCAGACTATCAAATAGAATGCTCTAAAAAGAAAAGGGAAAAGAGCAAGGTCTGGGCAATGCTGAACAAGGCAAGGAAGTTATAAAACTTTCACCCCACCCCTCCATCAACATGACCCTGGAATACTTCACTCAGCAAATTCATTTTCTAGACACCATGATGATGTAGGTTTGCAATGGCCACGTTGCTACCATATTGTTTCGGAAACCTACCAACTGCCACAGCTACACCCATGCCACTAGCTTTCATCCTAAGCACACTGCTAGATCCACTGTCTACAGCCAAGCTCTTCATTACCAACCGCTTCACCTCCACCTACCTCCCTTCCCTCATTTATATTTAGATCATTCTCTCTGATAGCCTTCTATCTGCATGTTCTTTCATAGTATCTACTGAAGTGAACTTTTGCTCACAAAAGCTTTTGTATCTCACATTCAATACATCTCTACTCTGCCTTCTGCCTGACTTTACACTAACACAGCTAACTATCTCTTTCTCCTCATATGAACTTAGAAACATAGGACTAGAAGGGAATTGCTGGATCATCAAATCCAATTCTCCACATACCCTACCCAAAAGAAACAGAAGTCGAAGAAGATAAGTAATATATTTGAGGAAGGTAGAGAATTTCCTTTTGGCCTTTTCAGACAATCTTGTAATAATCAGGTGTCCAGAATGGTCCACAGAGACATCCACTCTAGCCCATCCCATGAGCTATAGGTTCAAAGTATGCCATACAAACTTAATATCCTTAGTGCCAAAACAAAAAAAGAAAAGGGAAAAAAACTCACCTGCAATCTGTCACAGGAAGACAGAGAAGAGAGGGGACACAACTAGTGCTATAAGTCCCTGCAATGTCAAAAAATTAGTTATGTAAAATATACAGATAATCCTAGGAAGTGGGCTCTTACCCATGCTACAGAAGGCAAAACTGTCTAATGGTCAATCAATGTCTGCCAATCTATCATGGGGAAAATGTCCTTCTTTATCCCAAATCTGGTGCCCAGTTTAATCCTGAGTGCATGAGGAAGACCCAGCAGCTAGCCCCTGGAGATTTCAAATTAACATTTAGGAGCATTCTGGCCAATGTGTGATATGGCAGAAGGAGCGGAAAAGAACCACAGAAGCCAAAGAAGGTATTTACGACGAAGGAAATTCCTTTCTGGTTCCTGCAGGCAGCCAACCTAAGTTATGAAGCATGCAATGTAATCTATTGGAAAAGGAATTCAAGCATGAGGCAAATTCAGAAGTCAAAAGAATTAACAAGGAAAGGACAAGGAATCTAACCCAGAAAAGGCTATTGCAGCTACCTAGCCCAGCCTTCCTTATGTGCACATAAAAATATAGAAACTTAAAGCATGTATTCAAAACACAAATTGCCCCAAGAATCTGGGGATATTGAAAGCCTACCATCACAGTGTAGAAGTGTTCTAGTGTTCCACTTCCCCAGTGTTGGCAAGCTGTGTCTTATTCTGAAATTGCTTTCTCCAGCTTCATTCTGTGCCTCTAAATCCTGCCCTTATATAGCCAATCCATGCATTCATTTTCTTTTAGCCCTTCCTGGGAATACCAAACACCTGAAGTCTGATATTACATGTCCTGCTTACTGTTCCAAGAACATTGTTAATTTATCATACTGTCCCTTCCACAAACTTAGCAAATTCCATCTTGAAGCATTTTGGGTTTCCCCACTGCTTTATGGTGCTCTGATTGCTTTGTTTAGAAAACCGTTCTAAAATTGCACTCCTCTGGTGGTTAGAAGCCACCTTTTTATTTCTAGTCAGAATTTATTCATTGTTATTTATTTGACCTTGTACCAAAATTGTCCTTCATCTTGACTTTTCTTCTGTCCTGCTCTGTCTTCTTCTTTCCTGAAATCCTGTTCTGTTTTTTTCTCACCCCACATTATCAGAAGGGGACTATCCTACATCAGAGTTAATTTACTGCACCCTAATACTAGTGCACATATAGAATGTGACTCTTTACTGCGGAGCTAATTAGTCAACTGCATTAAAGCACACAAGTAGATGCACCCAGTATGTATCAGTCTGTGATTATATGATTAATATACCCATTACACCAACTATTAAAGCTCACTACATGAGAGTGAAAACTTCATCCTGGACGTTTACCCTACATCTGCAAATTTTCAAGTAAACTACAAGGCATAATTCCTTTATTTTTGTTAAACAGTTGTTCTGGCCACAAGACCAGATGCCAAATTTGGTACTACAGTATTACAGTCATATTTTCCTTTTTGATAAGCAATGTTCCTCAGTCCCACATTTCATATTGGGCACTGCTTTCTACCACCCTAGTTTGTGATTCACATGGACTTATACTCAGAAAGAAAGAACAATTACTTAACTAAAAATAACCACAGTCCTTTAAAATGTGTTCTTGTGGAACCCACAGCATGCTCTTGATCCTTGCTTTTTCTGAGTCCATGTTATCTGGGATTCTTAATTAGTAAGGAAACTGAGGAATAGTTGCAGCCCCTTTTTCATTTGGGTCCTTGAGTGGCAAGGGCCTGAGAACAAGCATAGGCCAGAGGACACTGCTATTTTTTAGCTGTTGATCCAGCGTACATTGAACATGTGTACTTAAGAGTAGGTTCTTCATAGAAAACATCATAGCTAACAAGCACAGGGTAGATAACTGTTCTTTTTAATGGGAAACTTTGGCTGGTAGAAATAATTGTCCTTTATGAGTATAAACTGTGCTGGAGTCATATATAATGTCTGCCAAGGTTCCATCATATGTTTTTATTTTGATGCCCCTCAGATATTTTCTTGCCACTTACTAAAATGTTTTATGCACAGATACAAAGATTCACCATGGCAGCTTTGTAGCTGCCAAGCAGCCTGATTCTTCTTTGCTCAAGAGGGGCAACAAAATATTTCATGAGCATGCTCAAAAAGTTCGCCAATTGCTCTTATGCCACTGTTACAGGAAGGAAGCCTCAAGGGATTAAAGGGGCACTGAGATTAGAGAAAGAGGTATTTGTCTCCTAATTCAGAATTAATGTTCTTGGTATAGCTGCAACACCCAGTTCCACTTGACTTAAATCTTTGTTAAGTATATATGGAAATGTTGCCTTCTGTGATATATAATTTTAATGCAGACTTTTCTTGAAGGAGATGAGGTTTATGAAAAATTGTTTCTTGTTGCAGCCTTTATCCACATCTCTACTCCAGAGCATACATTAACTTTAGAAATCCTGAGGACATCCTTCTTTTTAGAGATCGATTTGATGGCTATGTCTTCATTGATAATAAAGGTTGGACTATTTGTATTTTTAAAAATCTCAGTGCAACCTGTTGATCGTATACTTGATATTTTTCCTGAAATGTCTGGAATTGACATGCATAAAGGGATTCTGTAACTCTCAAGAACAGGAATTATTTTGGAAATTTTTGCTGAATATAAATAATTACGTCCCAAAAAAACTATATTAAAAAAACCTTCAGATTGTGAAATTAAGCTATACAAGTTAGGAAATACCAGAAATAAGTTTGCCTATGCAATCTTCATTTTTCGTGTGTGTATACATTCTAGTAGTCTCTAATTAAACCATCAGACTGTTTTTTTTTTCCCTCTGGACGCCTGCTTCATTCCATTCCATTGATGATGCTCATGAATGGACAGCAGTTCAGTAGTTTGAATAATGGATGGGAGCACACACTGAGAGATGTGAATAAAAGTCGCATCTCTCAATCTGTGCTCACATCCATTATTCTTTAAAGCACCCAAACCCTGTTAATAACCACATAGGCCTTTCTGTGGCATTCATCACTGTGCTATTTGAGTAATTTACATGCATTTATTAATTTATCTTCACAGTAGTCCTGTAAGATAAGGTGGTATGGTTTATCTCCATTTTCTACCTGGGAAATATAGAACAATTTTAAGTCTACATTAATTTTGGGTGCTCCATTTTTGCTACATGTGGCTGTATTTTACAGAGTACTTTCATTTTATACACTTTATATGTTCAGAGAACAGTTTCCATTTGACTACGGTGTCAGTTGTGACACTGTGCTTCTATTGATGAGACCCCAGGTGTCTCAAGTTGGGTCCCAAGAAAATGAGACACACAAAGTTAGTTGTCATCTATGAAAAGTTTGATCTAAATAGTGTGGCCACCATCACATAGAACTCTGTGATTTAAAGTGCCATCTCTAGGTGAAGGTTTTTACTTTAATTCCCTTCTTAATTCATTTGAGCTAATTGGCTACAGTATAGTAGTACAGTAGACTAATTAGTAGTAGTATCAAGCTATTAACTTCTTTGTGAACCAGCCAATAGTAGGTGATGAGGCACTTAATTAGCCAGTGGGTTTCACAGTTGTTTGCTAGCCAGCAAAGAGATGTTGTGACATAGAAACGTGTTAATTCTAGAGTCTAGAGAGAAATAGACTCTTGTGATTAGGGTCCCATCATATCCCTGGGCCTTCAGCCTGTCCCTGTTGTCCTCTGCCTTCTGCTCTTTCACCTCTTGAGTTTCTGGACCTGTGCTCCTGTTCCCTTCTTGAGCTAATGTTTTTGCCTCCCCTCCTGCCTCTCTTCCCTTGGACTCCTCTCTCCTGCCCTCTTTCCATGCTATTGCATCCCAGTCCCCATCGCAATCCCCAGCTCTCTCGGCCATATGGGGATTGGGATGGTCCCAATCACCATATGGTGGGGAGACAGCTGCCCTTGCAGCTGGCACAGCTCCCCTCTGCTATTGCAATGTTCCTTTCCTTTCTTTACATATTCTCCCTTGCACCTGTTCCTGTCCATCCCCTACTCCTATCCCTATTTCCCAGCTATACTGCATACTCTTCCCATTCATTCTGGTCCTGTCTTACTTCACAGCTCAGACTTTTGTCCTATCCTGGCTCCTCTTTTTACCTCCATTTCTACTTAGAGACAGATTTTTTTCCTCCTCCTGCACATTCTTTAGATGCAAACAGGGATACCACTCAGAGCACAAGCAAGGTAATCTCCCTGCTTTCAATTTTGGTGCTTGGTTACCAGGAAGAGTATCTCAGGGAAAGTCCAGCTTAGCTCCAGTAGTCCTGGCAAAAAGCATGCTCAGCTGCAGTGTAATGATGTAGCTGGGAGCCCGGAGCAAACGGAAGAAACAGCTTCCAGTTGCCACCATGATCAGGAACTCGAATGTGCAGTTAGCAGCAGCAGCTGCTTTTTTCACCCCCAGTTGGTGCCCAGAGTGGTTGCCTCTATCATCCTCCCCCCAGCCCCCTGGTTATGCCACTGCTACTCAGTGGCCACATCTACATGTGCAGTTAATGTGCCTGAACTTTCTTCACAGAAAATTCAGACTCATTAAAGTGCTCCGGGGTGCATGTCTACACCTGTGCCCCCATTGAGAGCAAATTGCACCTGACAGGAGCAGCCCCAGTCCAGTCTACACCTGTGTCACACTGCAACAGCCAGGGGGAACTCCAGGCTCCCTGGGGTATAAGCCCCAGGGCAGGCAGGGGGCACAGGGGCTGGGCCCGATCCCCATATGGCTGGGATGCAGCAGTCTCAGCTGCCAAGACAGCTCTCCCAGTCACGTGGGGATCAGTATGGGACCCAGTCTCCATGTGGCTAAGACACAGCACTTCAAGCTGCTGGGACAGCTCTCTCAGCCCCCTGTGGATTGGGATGATCCCAATCCCCATATGGCAGAGAGACAACTGCCCTTGCAGCTGGCACAGCTCCCTTCTGCCCCTCCCCCACTGCAATGGGACTTAACCACGCAGCAGCAGGCCCCCTGCTGCTACCTGGGCTGTCTACATGTACACTACTGCACAGTAGCTAATGCGCCCTTAATCTAGTACTTGTTTTTCCTGGTGCTAGCAAATAGCACATTAGCCTAACTTACTGTGCAGTGAGTCCTGCACACGTGTAGATGGTACTTTTTTATTGCACGTTAGATTAGTCTAATGCGGAGTAAAGTGTCTTGTGTAGATGTGCCCAGTCACTCATTGCAGTAATCCATGCACAGGCTGGCCCACAGAAGGGATGAAGGTATAGAGAAGGGGTGCCAACCTGTGGCATGTGTGCGACAACTGGCATGGGCAACCTCTGTGTGTGGCATGTGGCAGACCAGGGAGGGGACTGGCAGCACAGTTGCAAATAGGGTAGGAACCAGAAAGTGGAACAGCAGATTGTGTAGTGGCACAGGGCATGGAGCGGAAAGAGCAGCCAGTCGGGTAGGGGAAGAGGATCAGATGGGCACTTGTGGAGAGTGCAAGGTTAATTGGTGGCCTACCTGCCAAAAAGGCTTGCTCCCACTCCCCCACTCTCACTCCAGTATAGAGCATGTTCAACGGAGGAGAAATTTTTGGATAATTTAGCTGCCAAACTCTGATAACCTTCTGCTGAGTGGCTGACCCCACTGCCAGATTTCAATTCCTTTCCCCTGTGCAAAGAAACTCTAGAGCTTCCCAATAGAGCACGTTGAGAATTTTTTTAACATGGCAAAACATTACACTTTTCCTAATTTTTTTTTAAGTAACAAGTGGGCTATTTTAACTTACATTTCACACAGAAAAGAATTATCCTCAGGCAAACACTCAGTATGGACATTTTCATTCCGTATGGTTGAAGTTTGCAAAATTATAGGCAAATGAAAATAGATCTTGTAATGGGAAGTATCAGACACTTAGCTATAGCTGACCCTATTAGCTCTACCTTTAATACAGTTTTAAGTTTGAGTACAACTAGCAAATGAAATGCTGCTAACTTATAAAGTAGGGGTTGGCAGTATTTTTGGGCAGAGTTCCAAAAACGCCCAGAACTTCAACTTGGAAGATGTTGATGAGCCAGGGGCAGATGGCAGGAGAGCCACAAGGAGCCCAGTCCTTGTTGTGGCATCACAGCACTGGCCCATGCCATGCCATCTGCCCCAAGGCACTCGTGCCAAGCAAAATGCCTTCACGTGCCACACTGGTACCAGTGCAAGGGGTTGCCTACCCCTTTATAAACTATGTCCTGCTACCTGCAGAGACTGCAATTAGTCTGCATCGATTATGTGCTTAACTGATTTTCTAGGTTGGGCGCACCTTACAGGCTTGAGCCCATGACAGTTTTATTTTCAAACCAAACAAAAGCACAGTTGGTTTACCTTTGGGGGAGGGGGGGGGTTCCTTCAAGATTTATTTTTATTTTAGGGCAGAATATAGGATTAGTTAACTCATGGAATTGAAAACAAACAAACAAACAAAAAAGACTCGTATGATCTGCTATAAATTGAACTAACTGAGGTTCATAGGGTTCTTAGTTTTAGTATTTCATTCCGAAAGATGTCATTTCTTTCTGGTGTATATTGCCCAGCATTGTCGGCTTTCTGGTAACAAAATATCATTGAAATAATGTTTTGGTACACCTTTTCTAGATAATTCTTAGTATTCTTTATCCATCAGGCTGAACTGTGATATGCCAGTTTTTCTACCCAATTTCTTTAAATTTATAGATAAATAATAAAATAGGGTTTAGGATGCATATGCAGATTTCTCTTACTTTTAAAAATCTTAGTAAGCATATCAAAATAAATAAACCAAGATTTTTTTTCCCCAATTCTTTTGTAAATGCATATCCAGGAGTCAAATGTGTAGTTCAAAAGCTTGTTATTTTACTCTGTAGATTTTATGATACAAAATATTATTTATTTCTATTGCAGTAGTCATTTAAATTTATGGTTCAGGTTTGGATTTTCAAAAATACTCTTTTGACTTTAATGGAAACAGAGTTTGGCAAATGTTGGGCACTGCTTAAAAATCTCAGTGTTAAATCACAGTTATTCCATATTTTAAAAATATGTATTTGGTGTCTCTCTAAAGGTTTGGAATATCCTGCTGTGGTAGAATTTGCACCATTTCAAAAGATTTCAAAAAAGAAGCTAAAGAAAAAAGATGCGAAAGCTGGGAGCATTGAAGATGGTAAACATATTTTCTTGATATCATCATGTAAAACCTTCTTTCTGTCTGTCAGGTCTTGCATACTTTTAAACAATTTTTTCAAAAATTTTCCCTCACAGATCCAGAATATAGAAAATTTTTAGAAAGTTATTGTGCCGATGAAGAGAAAATCTGTGCCAATCCTGAGACTCTGTTGGGAGAGATTGAGGCAAAAACAAGGGAACTCATTGGTCTGTTTTATTTACTTTTTCCTCATTATTGAGTATTTTGAGTATTTTCTTCTTCATATTTTATAATGCTACCAGCAGGATCTACTCCATTCAGTCTGGTAAAAATTAAGACTATTGCAGAATTCATGTTCCTAGTCTCCAGGAGTGGCTGGGAAAACCTTACATTGCTCATTCTGCTGCTTCTGCTTTCATGGAACTCATCAACTTCCATGAGAATTTTGCTGGCTCATTGGTTTCGGAAAAATCCTTAGTACTTATCAATTGATAGTCCATGAGTCTATTATTAAAAAATAGCAGAAGGGCAGAAAAGACAACCTAAGGAGAGCCTGAAAAGTGCACTCAGATTCATTCATAATTCTGGTTGTCTGATAGAAGGTGAATTACCCTCTCTTAATTCTCATGGTCAAGATCACCTGGGCTCTGTCTGAAAAGGAATCAGATTAAAAATATCTTGTTAACTATAAAAGCATAATTTCCCTTTTCTAGAGTAAAATTGGGTCAAGATTAATTTCTTCAGGATTAAGGTGCATCATGTTTGTTTAAGTTTCTACCATGTGAACATTATTTATTCTAGGTGTATGTACATAGTTCATTGAAGTATTGCAAGTAAGTAGCAAATTATATTTATTTCCTATTGTGCTTCATTGCACTATATAAAAATAACCTATTTTTTCATAATATGCAGCTGTTGGGTTAATCTTAATGGCTAAAATTCTGAACTTTCATGTCAGAAGTCTAGATTTGATTGCCACCCCAGGTTTCTGGCCCTAGGGGGAGGTTGTTGTTAGGCAACCCAAGGTATGGCTTACCCTTATACTACAAAATATGAATTAAACAAGTATCAGAATCAAATTAGGGTCTCTAGAATAGCAGTGCCGAGTACTGACTGCTGGACTAGCCACCACAAGTCTGCCAGTGCTATCGTTTTTTTTTTTTGGAAAAATGAACTACAAAGAGAGAAATTAATTTTTTTATAGAGAAAAAAGGAGTAGGCAGAGGGTAAACACAAATGTTAATTAAGAATAAGTGTTGCAGAACCTCAGGGTGCAGAGAGAAGTACCTATCTGTGTTAGCCTGTAATCGGGCAGAATCTAAAGAAGCAGGCCTGCTGCTTATGAAAACTTTAGCTATATATCTCCGATTTAGTTAGTCTGTAAGATGGAAATCTATCCTAAGGGTGTAAACAGGGGTCATGACCAAAGCTACACGTCTGTTGTTCCACTTTAGATGCCTGTGAAGTATGCAACATTTTATGTGATAAATTAATTTAAAGAGTATTCATTTACAACCTGGATACCTGTAAATTAATGGCTTATTCAAGTTAATTGCCAGTCATTCCAGAGATAAACCAGAAAGGCTGCTAAATTTGCACACACACTGTCATATATAAATAAGTAATTGCATGATAATGGTTAATAAAAATAAATGAATAAACCAGATACTTGGATGTCTATGTTCAAATATCTTCAGGCTACAAATTTAGGTGTGGTTTAGACTTCATTATTTTAAATTTGATGGGTCAGATAAATTAAGAACAGTTTCGAGAAAATGTTCTTTTTTCCCAATGCTGTTTAGTTGTTTTTTAAATTATACTATACATCATGATGGTCAGATTCTCCCATGCTGTTTCTCTGTCTTCAGTGAGACCCCTCATATACATTCAAGAGCAGTTTTTGGCCCTAACTTTTCTCCTTCATTATAATTTTACTCCTGTGCTAGTAAGACTAACAGAAGATACTTAACATTCTTTATAGTTCCTCTCAGCTCTAGGAACAAGTGTCAAGTTTCAGCCCACTATTAAGGACTAAGTAGGGAAATTGGGAGTTAAAATTAGAAGCAGTAGTTTGGATATGACTTCAAATTGTAAAGTTCATAATGTTTTAAACTATGAGTCTCATACTTAAAATGGAAACAATGAGAGACCTGTTCACAAGGAAGGGTGTGTGGGCTAGTGGATAGAACATCTGACTAGAAGCCTGGATTCTGTCACTGGCTCTGCTGCTAGCCTGCTCTGTGACTCGAGGCAAGTCACTTCACTTTTCAGTGTGTCATTATCCCCATCTTTAAAATGAGTGTAATGATGTTTCCTTTGCAAGGTGCTTTGACATCAGGGGGTAAAAAGTGCCAAAATGATGGTAGTATTTCAAGAGTAGGACAGACAGGTACCAGTATTAATATTTAGGAATATATTTTAACATACTTCTTTTTTGTAAATAATATTTTGCTGAACTATATAGAAGTTTCTTAATTGATAATGACAATATATGATTATTACTTAGTAGTTTAAAATAATCAGAAACTATCCCTGGTTCACTTCTAATTTTAATGATGTTTCAGTAACAGAATGGGAATGCTTTCCAACAAATATAAAATAAATAGCATTTATATAATTTAGTTCCAATACAGTTAAGAGCTAACAGAAGAAGCAAGTACTTATAATAAACAAATACATATTTTAGGAGTTGAACACTACATCATACATTTTTTGTGTTTTAGCTAGAAGAACAACACCTCTTTTGGAATATATTAAAAATAGAAAATTAGAAAAGCAGGTACGTCCATACTTTCAACTGAAGTTCAACTTTTATGTTTTACATACATTTTTTCTTGTGGACAATTTTATCTAAACAACGTTCTAACTCTTCAGAGGATACGGGAAGAGAAAAGAGAAGAACGGAGGAGAAGGGAACTGGAAAAGAAACGTCTGAGAGAAGAAGAGAAAAGAAAGCGCAGAGAAGAAGAAAGACGTAAAAGAAAAGAAGCAGAGAAGCAAAAGAAAATTGCTGAAAAAGAAATAAGGATCAAGGTATTTTTAAGAAAAAGATTGAAATTGTTCTTTACTGGAAGTTAGATATTTTTTCTGTGTCCCAGTAACTCCCAAAGTACCAACATCAGTCAGGTAGGATAAGGGAAAATCTAACTTGAAAACCTGTATTAAAGAAGCCCATCAAGCTGCCGGGGTCATTTGAGTCATAGGGCACTTTTTCCATTCTTTTATAGACATCTTAGCATCCCTCTTTCTGAACCATTGCTTTTCTGATTCACTTCCTTTACCTTTGCTTTTTAGCTCATATTGTAGATGTATTGTGGAACCTTAACATGAAGGCTAAGTGAATTATTGTGGAATTATTGTGGAACTTCTGTATTTCATTTCCACCACAGGTTCCTTGTAAGCAATGTGCTACCCATTATTCTCTGTCATCCATAAACTAAGAGTCTGCCACATATGCTGAGCTTGGGCCACAGGAAGAGGTGCGGGCAGCTCCATGCCCTCCTGGCCAGCTGCAGTAGCTATTTTTTCATTCCTGACCAAAGGTGTTTTGCAGGGCTGCTGTCCTGGTCACCCTCCTCAGTTATTTAACTGGCCTCTTGCTAAAGTGGAGTTATAGGTTAGATTAATTTGGATAGGACTGCTTGTTGGCTTAAAATAAGTTTCTTCTTGGGAAATATAATGGTCTATGAATCCATTCAACTTGGCCTTTATACAATCCTTCAGAATCACAGAGAAGTACCATTCATATTTGTGTATAAAACCATATTCCTATTGTATTCTGTCAGATTTTTTTTGCCAGCACTTTATTTTGACATGATTTTTCTACATGAGACTATAGTCTCATTAATTACTTATTAATGTTATTTAGCAAAGAAGTGGGAAGCTGTGTTAGTCTTAAGTCAGGCAGAAGGCAGGGCAAGGTGACCTCTTAGGGCGCCTATACACGTGCTCTGGGATGGGGGGGCGTGTTTTAATTAGAGCAGCTCTTGGGAGCCACTCTAATTAAAATGTCTGCAGTGTCTTTTGCATTCAGTGTCCTGCATTTCAAAATGGTGTTGGGGGCACTTTAGTTAAAGCTTGTTTGAAGCACCAAATGTTGCAGCATGCTAGACTGGTCTGATTAGAACGCTCCAGCAGACTCAATTAATCAGCAACCGGGACTTGATTAATCGAGCAACTGGACTCAATTAATTGAGTCTGCTTCAACACATCCTAATGAGAACACATCAGAGCACATGTAAAAGTGCCCTAAGAGCAGGGGTGAGCAAAATATGGCCCACGGGCTACATCCGGAGCACAGAGGGACTTTATCCGGCCCAGGTGCCATCCGGCCTGTGAGACATCCTGCCAGCTCTGGGGTGCACAGGGGGTCTGGGGCAGCTCTGTAGCTGGACTCCATTTCTAGTTAGCCCAGGTGGCGGTGGCTCCTTCTGGCTGCCACCACCACTGGCCCCAACGCCATGGAGACTGGCGGGAACCCTTGTGCACAGCCCTGGCTCTGGTCCCATTCTGCCGTGCATCTGCTCTGGACTCGCCCCAGCTGGAGTGGACCAGCTGGGACCTGCGTACAGAGCCTCAACCCACTACATGCCCACTCCAGACTCGCCCACCCATGCTGAGCAGCGGCGGTAGCGATGGTGGCCAGGCAGAAGCTGCTGCTGCGTGTGGGGAAAAAGCAGCTGCCTCCCCGCTTGCCGCTGTCAGACCCTTCTTGCTGCAGCCACCTGGACTCCTCTCTGCCACAGTCATCACCACCACCAACACTGTCTCTGGGCCTCCCAGCAGGGCAGCGGTGGCTGTGGAGCCACAGGGCAACCTGGGAATGGGCTCTAGGCAGCCACAACAAGAAGGGCCTGGCAGGAAGGAAGTGGGAGGCAGCTGCTTTTCCCCCATGCCCAGCAGCAGCTTCTGTCCAGCTGCCGCTGCTGCTGCCACTGCTCATCATGGGTGAGTGGTCTGGAGCAGGCAGGCGTGCAGCATGCCAAGGTCAGGACTGTGTGTGCAGGTCCTGGCTGGTCTGGAGCTGGTCTGCTCGGGCTGGGGTGAGTCTGGAGTGGGTGTGGGGTGGGCTGGGGCCAGGACTGTGCACTCAGTTGCTGCTTGGGCACTGGTGGCAATGGCAGGGAGGAGCCGCAGGGCACATGGGCTTCGAGCTGTTACTGGGAGCGGGGAGGTGAGACGGGTGCTGACTGGCTTGCAGTAGCTCCTCAAAACTATCCATGTTGCCTGCAGGCCCGAGTGATTGCTCACTCCTGCCTTAGAGACTGGTTCCAAGAGGCCTGTGCTTTCATAGGCAACAACCTATTTTATCAGAAACTTCTGCCTGACTTCAGACTAACACAGTTTACCACCTCCCTGCTGAATACAGTATTCAGCAATCCTTCCATGCCTCTTACAAAATATGGCACCCAATTTGAGTAACAGAAGAACAGATTCCAGTTATGAGCATAAGGATTCTACTTCTTTGTGATATGAGGGGTCTATATAATATTTTGAATATACTAAATATATATATTTAATTTTATGATTTTACATGTGCTGAACTACAGCTTTATTAAGTAGTACAATAATCTGATTTAACATACAATCAACTTAACATTGTACTAATATTATTATATTTCTTTAAAGATGTGAATAAAATAAGTATTTGTTAAAAATGTAAACAACACTGCTCATTTGAATACAAAATTTAATGCAAGTTGTCTATATTCTGCTAGTTTTTAGTTAGTACAAAAATGTACTCAATGTACGCATTTTGTAATGTGTGTACTTAAAGGTATTTTTACTTCCATCTTTGTGTCTTTTGTTATATTTTTAACAAGATGGTTCAAATTCCAAACCAGTTTTTCTCATCTATTTTATAAGTAAATCTTAATCTAGCCCTACATAAAGTTTTCCATAGTTATGTTCAAGGACAGATTTTCACAGTATTTTTAAACATATTATTACAAACACTTGCTAATTTCAGGCTTTTTTGCCTTTAATTTCTTCTGTATCAAATTGAAGTGGTCCAGATTATGATACCCTTTATCTGTTTAATAGATGGTGGCTACAACCAGAGGGTGGATCAGGGGAGTGCAGCAATGCAGCTGCCCCGCCCCCCCCCCTTTAAAAACCAACTCCCTGGAGGTGCAGCAGCATTTTTATTCAGGCATACTGAGATAATCAATTGACTTCACCGCTCATTATCATCTCCCCAATTCCTGCTAATCTCTCTCCAGTCCACAGGTGTTAATAATCCTCTGTACTTTTTTACTGGTCTTCATGTTCATATTCTAACTATTCTTTTTTCTGGAATTTTGCTGTCTGTTGGCCATTCCTGGTAATGTCTCTTTTATTTCACAGCCCTACAGACTCTTTTTAGCTCTACCTAAAAACCTTAACTCAGGTGTAGTAATAGTAACTCAGGTGTAGAAATGACTGATAGTGAAGGCACTATTAAGATGCTCAAGAAAGCTAGATTTTGCTTTATGAATCCAAATAAGAGATGTCTATTGAACTATAGTGACTATGGGACTAATGACGCAATGTCTTTTGACTATTTTGACTCTTTTTGACTAAGTTGTTGTATTTTTTTAACATAATATGTAATCCAGCAAATTAGTGCACATTCAAATAGTTATATTTGTTTTTGCTTTGATCTTATACTGAATAACATGGTGTTAGCCTCCTAATTGCATTTAAATGGAGAAAAATAAGTGTTGTATTATTTGTGATGATGTGTAATACCGTTTGCAACCCTCCTTTTCAAAATCCTAGCTCTGCCCATGGCTATAGCAATATTTTATGCCATTATTCAGTCCAGTTGTTCAAAGCTTTATCAACATAGATTAATGTTAAGAACTATTCAAATGATAAAGGTTTTGCAAGCTTGGGCCCAAATTTTACAGGAAGTTCAGGGTGTAATTAATTATATGTTCTGTTTTTTTGATCAACAAGATGCAAAACCTATTCTAGCTCTCCAGATGAAAAGAAAAAGAAAATTATTTCCTTTGAAAATTTATTGTCCCCAAAATTAGTACTGCTCATGTGGCAATTGGATCTTGAAAGCTGGTTTCTCTGCCAAGAGAAGAGAAAAGTATTCTCCATTTTACAAAGTGTCTGTATTGCTACAAGAGGAATATAGTCAATCTTAAATATCAGTGTTCTCAATTAAGACAAATTGGTAGAATGAGTAAATAGGTATGTTTTAGCCTATACATTGGAGCAGTAGTTAAAGAATGGTTCGTCTTTCTGCAAAAATTGTTCTTGTAACGCTGTATAGCTCAGATCCTGCACCCACTGAGAAAATGATGGTTAAAAATCTTAGCTCCTGAGAGGAAAATGCAATTTGATTTCTTCTGCCATTTTTTCCTTCTTGTTTGTTCAGTTTTTGATTTCTTCATGCTTAATATCTACCACTTGTTGACAAAATGCTGCCAATTTCTATAAATTACAGGAGTAAACAATTGATTCTCCTTCTTTAAAGCATTATAGCTGGTTGGCCATTGATTTCATTGGGAGTAGGATTGAGCTCTGCTTTAGGATTACTCCACATAAGTGATACCATCATGTACCTGTCCCTTTGTGACTTTGGAAGTTATTGCAGAATAAGAACCTTTGTAGGTAATACCCAAGAGAAAAAAATGGGTAAGTCTATAGTCTCCTGTTTTTTTTCCATAAGCCTCTAATTTAACAATTGTGGCTGTATGACTTGTATTATGCTCTAATCATCCATCAGAATAAGTAAACTGTACTTTTAAAATGGCACTTTAATGTTGTACTTTGCAAAAAATTCAAATAATTCAAGTAAAATAGGAATGAAATAGATTTTAGAGCTCAACATCAGTTGGTGTTAATTGGAATATTGCAGTAAGTTATTAACATTTCTGTAACAGTATAAAAACATTTTATTTTATATCATAATATAAAAATTATTTCTTAGCTTCTTAAGAAGCCTGAAAAGGGAGATGAACAGGCCAGTGAAAAACACAAGGAAAAAGGAGAAGAAGCTGATATTGAAGAAGGCAAATGGGAAAAATCATCTGGATCTGGGAGTATAAAATCCAAGTCATTGGAGGGTCCATTAAAGGAACTTAAGGAAAAGTAAGTAATATTTATTGTTCGTGTTCAGAGTTGATCCTGACTTGTTTTGAGAGCTTAAATGCATCACAGGTCATGGTGCCTGGGTCATGAGCTGTCTCATTGTGGGGTGAATTTTACTCTGAAAGGATCTCAAAATATTATGCAAGCAGGGATAGACTGTCTCATGACACCTTTACACAGGAAATACATTATTAAAACTAGAATTATAGGTCTGTGATGTAAAAGATACAGCCCACAAGACAGAAACAGCCCACAGAGCCCCATTGTCCAGCCTCCTGTGCTGACCCTGAGCCTCAAGTTCACCCACACTGCACACGGCACATGGTAGACCAGCCCTGCACAAAAGGCCTGGGATGCAAGCTGCTTGTGGTGCTCACCTCAGCCAATCCAGGACACATGCCACATGCAGTGCCTGTTCCAGCCAGCCCAAGACTGTGCCACACATGGCACCTTCTCTGTTCAGTCCAGGACTGCACCACACGCAGGGCCTGCTCCATCTAGTCCAGGACTACACCTGCATCAGCTGTTCTGGGACCTGTGCTGCATCAAGTGCCGGCCCTGGTCTAGGTGGGTTGGATACATTGGTTCTGGACCAGCCAAAATGGGTGCTGCATGCAGTGCACATCCTGGACTGGTCAGAGCAGGTGCCACATGCATACAGAAGGAGTGGTGGTCTGTGGGCCCACTCTAGCCTGTGGGACTGGCCTTATACCAGTCATCCAGCTTGTGGGGGCCAGATGAGTGTGAGACCCCTGCTATAGATGATTGATTCCCAGCGGGTGTGCCACAACACACCAGTGTGCTGCAAGAGCAGCAAAAGTGGGTTGTGAAAAATGGACTGGATGGGATCCCAGCTGGAGCCCCGTGCTGAGGCATGTGGAGACAGGGGAGCAGGCAGTCCTGGGCTGGTTGCTCCCTGGTCTCGGTATGGTGTGCCTCAGTGTGGGGGCTCCACGTGCCTTAGCGCAGGGGCTCCACGGCAGAGCCCCCCACTGAGGTAGGTGGAGACGGAAGCAGCCAGCCGAGGGCTGCCTGCTTCCCCTTCTCCAGGTACACTCCACCCCAGCCAGCTTGGCTGCCTGCTCCCCTGTCTCCATGTTTGTCCCAGTGTATGCCACTTTGGTGTGCTTTGTGACACTTTTTTATTTAGGATTTTGTTATGCTACTGGGAAATTCCGGTAGCAAATTTTGTCCCGTTGCAGCAACTTAGCAGTGCTGCACACAGTTTAACATGCAATGCATGTGCTTTGTAGTGCCACAAAGAGGTATGCGGTGCCACAAACTGCACATGCCTGCACATCTGGATCCGACCTTAGGGTTTTTCTGCAGTAAAGAGGCTGCAGCAAGAGGGTGCAAATGTAACTCTACCACTTGTGTTTTCAGAGATTTGTCTCTTGGAGATATAAACAAGAAAGTTTCTTAAAGAAAAAAGCAAAGAGAATTTGTTCATTCAGTGTAAAATAAAAATGCTGAATTAACTAGTTGGAGAAATGATTTGCCATCATGCAATACCTTTTGCATTTATTATTGAAGATTTATCATCTGTGAAATCATAGTTTACAGGAGACACATGGAGCCCAACTGAGATGGAGCTGCAACAGAGGCAGCCTGCATCATGTTATACAGGCAGGCGCACTGCTTCTGCTTTAGCCTCTTCTGATTTCTAGCCATGTTCCTCCTGGAAACCACGGAATATGGAGCAATTTCACCCTGCGGCAGTAGAAGCCTAGTGATAGAAGCTGCTGCCACCAGCTAGAAATACCTCATGCACCTTAGTATTTGGGAGGTATATCAGAGCCAAACTGGGAAGAGCTGCAGCAGAAACAGCGCACCTGTCTGCCTAATGTAATGCATGCAGAGCCTTTCTCCTGTAGCTATTTCTCAGTCCGGGTCCTCCTGAAAATGAAGATGCTCAGGGCAGTTCCACCTACCCTGCATACCTGTTTACAGGAAATACTGTGCAAGGAAGGGATGCAGCAAAAGCATATGTTCTTAGTTTCATAGTAGGTAGGGTCAGAGGGAACCTGAGCAGATCATCAAGTCTGCCCCCCTGCCATGGCAGGAAAGAGGACTGGGGTCAAACGACCCCGGCAAGGTGTTCATCCAGCCTCCTCTTAAAGACCCCCAGGGTAGGAGCCAGCACCACTTCTCTTGGAAGTTGGTTCCAGATCCTAGCTGCCCTGACAGTGAAGTAGCGCCTCCTAATGTCTAGTCTGAATCTACCCTCTGCCAGCTTGTGGCCGTTATTTCTAGTCACTCCTGGTAGTGCTCGGGGGAACAGGAACTCCCCCAATGCCTGCTGGTCCCCCTTGACTATTTTGTAAACAGCCACTAGATCCCACTTCAGCCTTCTCTTGTGGAGGCTGAACAGGTTCAGGCCCTGTAGCCTCTCCTCGTAGGGCCTGCCCTGCTGCCCCCCTGATCATGTGGGTGGCCCTCCTCTGGACCCTCTCCATGTTGTCCACATCCCTCCTGAAGTGCGGCGCCCAGAACTGGACGCAGTACTCCAACTGCGGCCTGACCAGTGTCGCATAGAGGGGGAGGATCACCTCCTTGGACCTGCTTGAGATGCATCTGTGAATGCATGACAAGGTACGGTTGGCCTGCCTGACCGCGTCCCCACACTGTCGGCCCATGTTCGTTGTGGCATCAATAATGACTCCAAGATCCTTTTCTGCCTCTGCCCTGACAAGAAGGGAGTTCCCCAGGGTGTAGGTATGCTCGTGGTTCTTCCCCCCCAGGTGCAGCACCTTGCACTTGTCAGTGTTGAAACCCATCCTGTTCTCATCCGCCCGTCCCTGTAACCTGTCTAGGTCCGATTGCAGCCTATTCCTCCCTTCTAGCATGCCCACATTCCCCCACATCTTGGTGTCATCAGCCAATTTGAACAGGGTGCTCTTTACCCCCTCGTCCAAGTCGCTGATGAAGATGTTGAGCAGTGCAGGCCCAAGGACCGAGCCCTGTGGAACCCCACTGCCCACAACCCTCCAGGTCAAATAAGACCCGTCCACCACCACTCTCTGGGTGCGGCCCTCCAGCCAGTTAGTGACCCATTTGACTCTGTAGGTGTCGATGCCACAGTCTCCTAGTTTTTTAAGGAGTATGGGGTGAGAGAGAGTGTCGAAGGCCTTCCTAAAGTCAAGAAAGACTATGTCCACTGCTACCCCTGCATCTAAGGATTTTGTAACCTGGTCATAGAAGGCTACCAGGTTTGGTCTGACAGGACCTGCCTCTAATGACCCTATGTTGGTTGCCCCTAAGCATAATCTCCCCTGCTGGCCCCTCGTGGACATGTGCCAGGATAATTCTCTCAAAAAGCTTACCCAGGATCGAGGTAAGACTAACTGGCCTATAGTTTTCTGGGTCCTCCTTCCTCCCTTTTTTGAAAATGGGAACCACATTGGCCCTTTTCCAATCCTCTGGCACCACACCAGAGCATCATGAGTGCTCGAAAAGCCATGCCAGGGGTCCCGCAATGACCTCTGCTAATTCCTTCAGCACTCTGGGGTGGAGATTGTCAGGACCTGCTGATTTAAATATGCCCAGTCCCTCCAGAAGTTCCCTGACTAGATCCTCACTGACCCTAGGCCTGGGTGTGCCTCCCTTGGGGCCTATGGGAGGCGCACAGCTACTTCCCAATCTGGTTCTGCAGGAGGCACACAGCTTAGATCCACCTGGCCATGGCAGCAGTAGCAGTCGGTGAGCAAAAGATAAGGATCCAATAAAAAAAAAGAATTAATAATTAACAATGAAATTGTTTAGATTTTACTGTGTATAATATATTGGTTTCTAAAATGGAGTGCTAGAAATTTTGAGAAGTGCCTTGAGTCTAAAAGGTTGAGAACCACTGGACTAGACCCTTTATATGTACCAGGACTTTAATTCAATGGTCTCAGATGTAATACAGCATCAGATTTAACAAATATTAAGTTTTTTCTGTCTGAGTGCTTTTAAGATTGTAGTGAATGGTCCTGTTTATCTGTTCATAGACTTTAACTAGATTGGGAGCCATATCTGAAACTGTTTTGCTGTGTACTGAAAAAGCAGTAATGAATTACAGTCCCTAGAGCTACATCAGAGGGGTTGGCTGCCTACTGGAGGTCACTTTGTAAATCCTAATGGTAATAGAGTTCCACTGTAAATGGACATTTAAAAAAGTGCATGAATGTGCAGACTCATCTGTATGTCTGAAATTATGCCATGTGCAAATAAGTTTTCTCCCTCTCATTTATGCTTTTTCCCTAGCTGCCTTCCTTCTCCTCCTCCTCTGTCTCTCTCCAGCTTTTAATTATTTTGTTTCTCATGACTCCCACCCATACATATCAGTTCCTTAGAACTCATCTTTGGAAAGATACAGCAGCCAATATTAAACGTGAATTTGTCATCCAATGACTTGCCAGTCTCAGAGCTACCATTAGGCAAATCTGCACTGTCACCTTTGTTCCTGCATCATCTCTAATTGAGACATTCTCTGTACTCAGTAACAGGCAGACTAGGAAGCAATGTTCCAAGCAGGTTCAACAGCAACAAATCCAGGCATGTTCTCCAAGCAGGTGGGAAGGTTGTTGCAGAATGAGTGGACTACAAAACTTGTCAGGAGTACAGGCACTTACAGTGCCTACAGTGGCATGCTTACATTTAAAAGGTTAATACATCAAGTAAAGCAGGCATGGCTTGTCATACCCTGGGGAACTAACATGGTATTTACGAATAATACACATATTTAGAAATATACCTTATAGACTTGCAGACCTCGTCAGTGTTGTCTGATTAAATGAGGTCTTGCTCACGAAAGCTTATGCATTTCTGATTCAATTAGTCTATACGGTGTATCTTTACCCTGCCTTACTTCTGACTACCTCTCTCTGTCCATTTAGAAATATGTGCCACTATTCATAATTGTACATTGTTTTAGTGTCTCTCTCAGTGGATGCACAACTGCACATGCACAACTACATGTGCAATTAATGTGATGCGATAAACTCTGGAATGCTGGAATACACTACTCCCAGGCACAGCATATACACATGTGCCCAGGACAGCAGCACTGAGCTATGGCAGAGCAGGCCTGGGCTGGCAGCGGGCTTGTGGGGGTCAGCCCTGGGCTCCATGTGGCAGTGTTGGGTAGCAGAGAGGCTGGCTGGGGCATGAGAGTGCCGAACATGTGGAGCCATTTGGCTAGGCAGGGGTCTGGCCACCTGGCAAAGCTGAAATTCCTGTTTCAGTTTTAATTTTCCTCTTTTATTATATATAAGACAGAGTTTAAGGAAATATATAAGAAAAGTTTAAGAAACTACTAGCTATTTACTCTTGTCTATAATTAGATTAAAATATTCTATAATCTCTGTCATAATTTCCAGTTTTGCTTTAGGAGGAAGATATCTGGTTACTGAACAAGATCAATGAGATGAATAATGGGGCTGAAAGTTGCATCAACTTAAAAGAGTGTTGAAAGCAAAAGGCATTATTAAGAACATAAATCTCTTCAGGCATATATACAATAAAATATTGTGATAAAGGTCGTTTGCCTAAATAAATGTAGGTTATGTTACCTAGCAACTTGATGTGAAAAGGCTGGGGTAGAAGCATTAGTGCTTATTTTTCTAATACCTTCCATGTCGTGCAAAGTCTGTGAACAATTTTTGTGATGAGGATCCATAATACTTTATGAATTCAGACTGGAGCTTGCATGTTTTGAATGCTGCTACTGAAGACAGGAAGTTTCTCACATGCTTACATTGTCACAGGATCGGACTCATAGGGTCTGTACCTGGAACACTTACTCACATGAGGAATCTCATTAATATCAATGTTATTATTTCTTTAAGGATTCCAAATATGAAAAAGAGTTACAGGATAGTCTTCTTAAACAGTTCTAAAGTACATCTGGTTTTCTTTGGAAGCCACTGCAAGACTAATGTTTTTTTTTCTGTTTTGTTTTGAACTGAATGCACACCATAGAGCTGAGTTTATCTGTACAAGATGAACAGCAAAAGTGCAGTGCATCTCATTTGTTCTTAAAAAGTACATGTGGTTTCACTGCAGGCCTGATGTAAAGCACAGTGAAACCTATGGGAGAGTTTGTATCATGTCCAGTGAGCAGAGATTCTTTTCCTAAATTAATTATTTGGATGTTTTTCCTTTTTATACACATGCAGGTCACAAAATGATAGTGATAAAGAGCAAAGGGATTTGGAGAGAAGATTTCGAGAAAAAGAACCTGAAAGACAAAGGTATCGGTTGGATGATGGCAGAAAGCATAGAGCGCACTATGAGTTTGACAAGTTTGTGAGAAGGAATGAAGAAGAGCTGAAATGGGGGAAAGGATACAACCAAGACAGAGGAAAGAAAGGGAACCACAACTACAGCTTCACTGTGGAGGCAGTAGACAAACTGGGTAAAGAGGACAAGTGTGATGACATGGCATCCAAAAAGGAGCGCATAAGAAATAAGGTTCTTTTATTCATTTAGGATAATCTTTCATTAGTAAAGTATACTTCGAGGTCACAGGTTTTACTTTTGCAAAATCAGCATAAAGATGCTTTTTCAAGGAAAACAAATTAATAATTTGATTTTCAGTAAAACCAAGACTTCTTTACAAAAATAGCTAAAATAAGGTGATTGGATATGTCTTCCCTCATTATCTATATTTACAAAATCTGGGGTACATTTTATCTTTCTTGGCATCTTAGCAGTTTACAGAACTTTATTCTTGGAAGCTTAGCATTTTTTGAATGTTTTAAAGCTTGTTATATCAAGGTGATCTGTAGTGTGATTTGAGAATTGTGGCCTGCTAATCTTTTAAGAGCTAATTTATGCTGCATAGAGTCTTAAATAGTCTAGTTAATTACTGGGTGGCCATCAGTTGTCCAGTGATGCAATTAAAAGTGAATCAATAAGTAATTTATCCAAAAACTAATATATTTAGATAACTTCAATATAAAAAATAAGGAAATAAAGAGCACATTAAGCAATCTTTATGTACTTTGCCCTGAAGTAAAGGAGGATATCTTATCACACGAAGAAGTACTGAATGGGCCTGTTCACAAACCCACCAAAATTTTCCAGTCTTTGTCTGGAGAGAGATATAGAAACAGCATTCTCCTACCACCCTTGAAACCTGTGGATGAACAGAGGACAGTGCTATGTAGTTTTCTTGAAATAGCTTATTCTGTTTCTTTTTCTAGACTGAGCCCAGTACTTTAAATTAGATGTTAAATGGTGTTTCTGCATTCCATCAAAATCTATTTTTTGTGATAGTTAAAATAAAGAGCCTTACTCTAGAGGCTTTCAAATAGTAACAGGTAACTACTGTATTTGCTCAAATACAAGATGAGTGTTTTTATGAACTTGATTAAGTGCAGCCATTAGTGAGCATGGCTATAAAACAATGACCCCCCACATTGGGCAAACATGCTGATGGAAACCCTTCTATTTTTTTTTTTTTTTTGCCCTTAAAAAAACAGGCAGGTGTTCCCTCCACAGGGGACTGGCATCAGGCTTGGGGATACTGGAATACAAGGCCAGCACCGGAAGGGCCAGATGCATTTGTGACACCCTCCCCTTAGTGCCAAAATTTTTTTACCTTAACCAAAAGGCTAAGGTGCTGATGGGAACCTACCACCAGACTATGTTAGTGTAGCTCATCTGAATAAGATGTATGGTAGTGCCCATTAAGTGCAGTCCCCCTCAGCACTGACTCTTTTTCAAGTCATGGTGAGCCACATTACATACAGTTCAGCCAGAATCCCTCTGTCGCTCCCCTCTTTCAGCCTGGTGCATACGATTAGTGTGGTCCTGCCTTCCATGAGGTAAAATCAAACCAGGTTGCCCTGTGCTTCATCTACATACAATTTTTTGGACCATGCCATGACACATGATGACAGGAACACCTGATTCAAGTTATAAGTGGAGGCTTATTAGTACATAGCTCCTTTGTCTGGGGTACCTGGAATACACACATATACTGAACAGTGCTGAGCTTTGGGGTCACTGTGGCTTGAAATGCTGTTGACTCCACTGGGGCCCAGCCCAATGAACTGTATGGTAAGTTATGAGTCATTGTCTTTGGCCTAATATCTTGCAAACTATCTACATAGTTTGTACTTTGCAGCCTTTTGGCTAAGATCAAGGGAGACAGGGGTATCTGAACCCCAAGGCCTCCAAGCATGGGGCTTGCATGTAGGATGCCTGCCTGGATTTGGGGAGTATCCAAAGCCTCAGACCAGTGGTAGAGCCATACAGGCTTGATGACTGAGCTCTGCTCAATTTTGGAACTTGACTATTGGGCTTTGCTCAATTGATTTTGAAACTGATTTAGCCTTGAAAAAGATTTTTTTTAAGTTTATACTACATATAAGTAGGTACTGAAGTGCTGCTCAGCAGTGTGTTTACAGAATACCTGTGCTAAAAGTTGCAGTAGTTTCAAAAAAAGGTAACATGCATCAATTCTGAATAAACAAAGTGCATGGGTACTACATGCAAATTGCTACAGCCATGTTTAATTTCAAATTTATTGTTTTTAAATTTGCTCTTCACTTCAATGGGTTCATGGAGAGCAGGGTCTGACACTAAGGAGGGAGGGAAGGAGCAGCCAGCGGAAAAAGTTGGAGAGAAGCAGAGATCAAAGGGCTACCTGACCCCCCCAGATTTATTTTCCCTGCTGTAGCAATGGGAGGGGGACAAATTCAAGGCAAACATCCCATAATTAGATTCTATACCAAAATTATACATTTTCCATATATAGAATCTAATTATTATGGGGCCATCTTATAATCAGGTATTCAAGTAAATGTGGTATATTTTATTGCCATGGAAAGTCTGTAGCTTAGATAGGTATGTTTTAAAGGGCACTCAAGAGCTGTCAGACAACTTATTTTAGGGAGATTCAGGTGGTTTTTCTTACAAACAACTGATCAGCAAGTTTCTGGTGGTTTCAGTTACTATACTTCTGCAGCTAACCATCCTTGTATTGTCCATATTTTCTTGATTTATTCACAGTAGGTGAAATACATTCTGCCCCCACACAACATGCATATGGGAGTAGTGTGTGGTGGCCATAGGAACCAGACTGAATTATATAGGTGTTTAAACATGCATCATGTTTTAATTTTATTAATAGCTCATGAGTTGATATGACCTTTACACAAATATCAATGAGGGAGAAGCAATAAAGGCTATATACATCTATATACATCAGCTGCAGGTGTATATTCTAGTTTTATCAGGCCTTGATTACCCTGGTATTATTTTATTCGTATTATTATTTTAACAGCATTTTTCACAGATGTCTCTTGTCCTTTTACTATTTTGTCAGATAATTATATCTTTAATATTTGTCATAGCTAAAATGAAATTTGTTTATAAGGACTGTAATTTATAGTTTGCTTAATTTACTCAAAATGTTTGGCTTCCAAGAATAGCGTTTTAAACAAAGTGGATAATAAATACTAAGGCAGTTCTAATTACACTTCAGCTTTTTCCCAGTTCTTGTTTAATGTGAAGTGATTTGATACAAAATCCCCTTTTCACAAAAAATCAAGTTAATTGTTTTAGAATCCCACATATGTAAATAAATGATAATTTACAGAAAAAGTTAACCTTGTGCACTTCTTTCTAGGATCGTCCAGCCATGCAGTTATACCAGCCCGGAGCTCGCATTCGAACACATACGGGGTCTACAAATAAAACCTATGACTGCTATGGGAAGTTCTCTGAAGATACCTGTGATAGAAAATATGAGGCAGATAATTTAACTGGAGGTGGTTCTGAGAAGAGTGAAGAAGCAGAATAAAACAAAATGGATAGAAAACCTGTGAAAAAGAATTATGTTAATTTTAACTTCTCCACAACATTCATAAGGCCATTTCAGAACTCCACAGATTATACCAACAAAAGTGTACTACATTGCTTTCTTCAATAAGAAAAAAAATTATTTGAGACAGATGTCATATTAATATGGCAAAGAAATATAATTGTTTTTCTACAAAAAGTGTAAGCAAACACCATTTTCTTAATTTAATAGCAGTCCAATATTTTATTAGGCTTACCCCAAGATAAAAAAAACTTCTAATAGTTTTCAACTTGTATTTATATAAAACTTTTCAGATAACATTTCACCTTTTCAGATCTATTATACTTAGAGAAATAAACTGTAAGTTTGTGTCAGTTTGAAATCTGAAGCACTTTAAATGTGTTCTGTGAATGGCATTAACTGTACAGGACCTAGTCCTTCAAACATCACCAGGCATAAAGCTGACTATGAAGAACAGTGCTAGTGGAATCAATGATACCATGGCTAGAAGCATGCACTGTAATGTTTGCAGGATTTGGCCCAGGGTTTGCACATCTGCGAGCCGTGTCTATTGGTATTTGTAGCTCATTGTTTACCTTGTTTTCATTTAGCTATAGTGTCAGGTAAGTGTAATTAAAAACTACAATACATTGTTACAACATTTGCCATTCCCCTGACCATTTTTGCCTTGTAAGTTTTAATGTATTCCTGTGTTTAAAATGGAAACGCAATCCTCCACATTTAAATGCTGTATCTGGTTTTGCAATTGCAATTTTTTTAAATGTTTTTGGCACTGACTTTTAAAAGGTATTGTACAGTGGTGACTTTTTCTATGTTAATGTTTCATATAAGTTGCAGTTGTAGGATTTGGAAATTCTATGATGCATATAAGTTATAAAATATAATTTCTTTGAGAAAATAAAACATCTAATAGTGACTCTGACATACTGTTCTGAAGATTTAGGCCAAATACTGCGCTCTGATCCATCTCAGTGACTCTAGTAACAGGTATGTGTACTGAAAGACAAAAAAAAGGGCTTTTGATAATTGTCTGATGATTAATACACTTAAACTAAGATCTGCTTTATCAGTGAAGTTAAACACTAAAATATTTATTTTTGGCATCATATTGAAACTTTTTCTAATTAAGCATAACACTTGATTGTTCTAGTCTTAACAATAATTTATTGTATTTTCCAAATGTTAAACATTAAATATAAAAGTAAAAAATAGTTTTGGCTATTTAAGAAATGATCTTCCAGTTTTTTTCACTTAGGACACCAAAAAGGATAAGAAAGATATTGTATTACTCAGTAGTGTCAAAAGGTAGGTTAAATATACAGGTAATTAGTTAATATTAAGTTATCTGTCAGAGCATTGATATGCTAGAGGTTATCTAGTTTTTAAGCTGCTTAAATGACTTCAAAGTAGAAAACTCTAATGTAAAACCGTTGTTACAGACTGGATTGTCCCTTTATTAGAATTGGGCCCAGCCTAGTTCTTTTTGCCCGGATGATGGATTTGCGCTTGGGCTAGCAGTTGGGTCAGGTGATGGTAACCCAGAAGTGGGGCTCCATATCAACAAAAGATGACTCAGTCTGAAGGGTGAGAGATCTCCAGAGAGCAGGAAGTTTCTCCTATAGTAGATCCAGATGCAGTCACACTGAACTCTTTGCAGGATTAGAGCCTAATGAGAAAATATTCCTAGCCTGTTTGAATTGCAAGAGAGGATGGCAGAGCCAAGCAAATTAAAGTACTATTGATGTCAGCATCCATTTTCTTGAGGTTTGCCTTCAGTGTGTCCTTGTAGTGTTTCCTCTGGCTGCTGCAAGATCTCAGGTGGCAAGATCTCTCAGCTATACTGGGAGCAGAGCACTTGTTTTGGGAGTCAAGTTAGGCAGCTTCACAGAACGTCCAGTCCAGTGAAGTTGGTGCTTGAGAATCACTGCCTCAATGCTGGTAACATTGGCTTCAGCAGGGATATTAGCATCTCTGATGCAGTCTTCCCATTTAATGTGGAGGATTTTCCAGAGGTATCGTGGGTGATACTCACAGAAGTCTGAGATGACAACAGTAGGTCGTCCTTGTTTCACATCTGTAAAGGAGAGCGGGGACGATGACTACATTGTAAACCTGGATCTTGATGTCTTTATGGAGATTGTGATCCATAAAAACACACCAAAGCAATTTCTCAAAGGAGGTGCTTGCACACTGGGTCCTGCATTTGATTTCCTTATCAATGTTCACTCTCTGAGACAGTTGGCTATGAAGGCAAGGGAAGTGCTTGACTACCTCCAGGGCCTACCTCCTCAATGGTAGTTTGAGGAAAGGGCAGTCATACTCACAGTATGACAGGCTTATAAAGCACTTCCATTTTCTTGATGTTAAGAGAGATCCACAGCTTGGTAGACTTCTGCAAAGAGACACAGCATGGTCTGGAGGTTTTCCTCAGCATGTGCAAGGATGATGCAGCTGTAGTGAAGGTCAAGGGTGGTTGTTTTGATTACTTTAGTCTTTGAGTGAAAAAGTCCCAGGTTGAAGAGCCCTCTATCTGTTCAGTACTCAGTGTCAGTTCTGGAAGGGAGGTGGCCCTTGATGAGAGCCAGAATGACAGTCAAAAAATGGAGAATAGAATTGGGGTAATGAGACACATCTTTGCTTGACTCCCGTATGGATGACAAAAGGATCTGTCTCTGATCTGTTACAAAGAGCCATCACAGTCATCTGGTCTTGGAGAAGCCTCAGAACTTTGATGTATTTTTCATCAATAAATTCTATTTGTTTATAATTTATGTAGAATAAATTGCATTCCATAAAAGTAGATTTAGGCACCGAAATGTGATTCTGATCCTCCCTGCTTGAGTCCCTGAAAAACAGTTAATGAAAAAATTGGGTGGGTCCTTTTTCTTTTCACTGCTTTTTGTGATTCAATCTTAAGGGCAAAAGGATGGTATGTTACAAATTAGATACACTGATAGATTTTCAGGGACTCAAACAGGGTAGAATAGAATCTACTTAGGTGGGATTGAATCTGGTTCTTGGTGGGCACCTGTCCCATGACTTTGGGATCAGTATCTTTTGGCAAGCAGTGTCTCTTCCAGCTACATCTCTAAGCTGTGTTCTGAAGGAACAAAGCAGAAGTGCTGACTTAAAATTCTGCTTGTGGTACTAACCATACCAATGCCAGAATTTCCAGTGCCAGGAGATCCAGCAGTGACTTTTACTGAAGACTTTTTCTTTTACTGAATCTCTGCAATTATTAGCAGCAATGAACATTCCTACAGCACACATTTCTTCAGCACTGCCTTTATGGTACCAATGAAAGAAGCGCTCAGATTGACCACTAGAAGTCTCACTAAACTGTCACCTCCATTAGGGGAGGAATATTCTTATCTTCAAGATACGGTGGAAGGGATCCAAGGGGAGGATTGGGGGTGGGGAGGCAGAGTCTGCAGGGAAGACTGGGGAGCAGGCATGGTCCATGGGGAGGTTGGTGGCATTGTGGGGCTTGCAGGGTTTACAGGAGGGCTTGGGGTAATGGGGGATTCTCTCCCCCACCCGCTGGGACCAAGGGCTATTTTTAGCCCTCTGATCCCCCCACCAAGTGAACCTAGCTCCCTATTCCTTTTGCCCTTTCCCCCACTGGGACTTACTTCCTTGGCTTCTGGTATTCGTGAACATTGATAAAGCTAGCACCAGGAGTGGGTTGGGCGGTTTGGTGGTCTGGGGAGGACTGACTGGCCCATGGACAGGGGTGCTGTCCATCTGGGGATGGGGTGCAAGGGTGGGGCTAAAAGCCCAGTGCCAGGAGTGGGTAGGAAAAGTGCAGCCCCTGGGACTGGGGCCAGCAGCTGGGTTTTTGCAGGTCTGGAGCTGCGCTGGGAACTACGGAACCGAAGTTCAGTTCAATCAGCCTCGCCAGACCAGAGCTGTTAGGCTACCCTGGAGGTACACTTAACTTAGATTGGGTCGGCCACTTTTAGACTGATCTAACTGGCCTGAACTTTTGTACAGTTCACAAGTAGAGATGTAAGTATCATTAACAAAAATAGGCAGACAGGTTCTTTGGGTAGATTTGATGTCTTTTATTAGACCAACTAAATAGTTGGAAAAATTGTTCTTTGCCTGCCCAGAGCGGGGGGGGGTTGGCCTCGATCTTCCCTTCCAGCTCTTAATTTCTATGATTTTTTTTGGGCACAAACACCTGTTTTCATTTAACCTCTAATTATTCATTTAACTGCCTTTAATTATATCAATTAAATGGTTAACTGATACACAGCTGCTGCAGGGATCTGCTCCCAGGGCCCTTTGACTGGGGGAAGGAAGGGAGGAAGCAAGCACAGACCACAGCCCAGGTGAAGCCCTGTGCTGGGCAGGAGGGAGCACCTGTGAATAAGCAGCTAATTGCTTAACTGATGAGTCAGGCTGCTTGTTGTTTTCTTCTTAGACTATGGGTACTAGTCCCCCTCCACCCTCACACCTCCTTGCTCCTCTCCCCCTCCCTCCTGCCTGCCCTGCTGCCTTCTGATTCCGGCTGGGGCACCCTGTGGCCTCCCTTTTCCCCTTCTCTGCCAGACTGGACTCACCCAAAGCTAAAGGATAATTGGTAAGCTAACTGGTTATCACTGCACTTATTGGTTAAACAATTAATCATTTAACCATTTAACCTTTCACATCCTTATTTGCAGGTAGATCCACCTAAATAATGTATGGTCTGCATCTGGGCAAACTAAGCTAGATTGGGTAACCATTGGCCTGTTAGGTCCTAGAAATAATCCAAATAAAATACTTGAGTTTTACCATCTCCCTACTTACCCTCCTTTTCAGGGACTTCTCTTAGAAGAGGCTATTGCAACAGGAGATGAAATACATTTTTATTATGAGAGCTAAATATATTACGATTTTAATAAAGGTGAGGGAAAGTTTTTATATGTGTAATTATTTTATTCATATTAAAAAGGGTGATGGGGCCCTGTTCTGGATTTGATTCTGCAGTAGCAAGAACACACCTGTGTGACACTCTCCCCTGGTAGAGGTGTTCAAGTGATTGCCTCTTTTGGCAGAACTGTTTGATGGCCTCTCTTCAGGCAGACTCCAAGCATGTACCTTCAGGCTACTGCTTCTTGATCACAAAAAAAATGGAATACACCATATACACGTTTGAAGAAAGAACAGTTACTTCCTTGTAACTGGTTCTCTAATGCATGTTATATATAAGTACTCCATGATCCAGCCCCATTAATACTAGTAGTAATTTTAATAGTATTATAAAACCTGGATTCTGTATTGGTGATGGAGACAGTTGGTCCCACTCTACCATCTATGCCCTCAGATGTGTGTGTTGTTGACTTGAGGCAAGAAAGCTCAGGGCACAGGAAGGAAATTCAACAGGCACTGCTGGCCAAAAGGCTCTAATGTCAAATGTATGGAGTACACAAGTGCCCGAAGGGAACTCTAAGGATAGCATATTTCAAACAAAAGTGATAAAATAGGAATGGGAGTGTGGGTTAAAGGTTTAAAGCAGTGGAGCTGAACCTTTGAGAGAGACAAGCTAGGTGCTTGTGACCTGGCTACACTGTGGGCCACCACTCCTCTCACTTACAGAAAGGGGAGAAGAAGGTGGCTGCCAATGCTAGAGGGTGGGGAGAGAGGAGGAGGGAGCTGTGGACAGGATCAGTGGCATTGGAAGGGGAGGCATGGACCAGGTCCAGTTATTTTGGGGGCCAGATCTGGTCTGCAGGCTATAGATTGAGTACTGCAGGTTTAAAGCAAGAGCAGAGGAGGCCACTGAGCAGAAAACCCAGAGTATCCACTGTTCAGCAAAGGAGCTCAAGGAGTTAATGGCCACTTCCTTGAAGAATGCAGCCTAGAGAATGAGAGAAAGGCTCCACACTTGCAGAGAACATCCCCTCACCCTGGACTGACAGCTTGGTTGACTTGGCAGGGACACAGACTGATACAGAGGCAGGGGCACATCACAGGGTACAGGAAAGAAAGGATGCTTCATGTGTTAGACAAGCACTTTAGTCTCATCAGCCAGAGTCCAGAAGGGTCTGATTCTGATAACACCATCCAGGACTCACCTCCAATTCCCTGAGGGGCCTCCACTACTTGTACAGGAAGATGGGGATTATGTAGCAAGGGGTGGAGAGGAAGCCTCTCCTTTTGTAGCTACCATCAGTATGACTTCTGAGCCAAGCTTCCAGGCCCT